GAAGGGTGACTGTTACGGAGTGTGACGGAGTGTGACGGAGTGTGACGGAGTGTGACGGAGTGTGACGGAGTGTGACGGAGACCTTTCCTTTCTCTTTCTGGTTCTTTCCTCAACCCTAGCTTATACAAACAGTTACCCACATGCATGTCAGGAAATGAGACGGGAGCTTAGAGCATGGCCCGCCGGTTAGAGATACCTTGTCGGAAGCCAATGTTTAGGTTTGCGACGAATCTCACCATTAAGCGGGGGAGATCACTCCCATCTCCCGCGTTTAAAAAGACGTGCACTATACATACAGGACTAACGGCCTTAACGGTTCACACTCCCGGAAACACTAATCAATCAATTAAATCAATCAATCAACTCAATCAATCGCCCGATGAGACCAACAATTGACCGGCGGGGCGCCCGCCATTCGTGTCCGCTGGGCGAAGCTGCGTCCTCTGGAGCGGCGCTGTTGAATGTCGCGGCCACTCGCGTCCGCACTCGGTGATTGATAAGTTCCCCGTCGTGCCGTGGAGCGCGCCGATCGCACAGAAATATTTACAGCTCTCGGTTCATTAGGTTTTCGGATGGGCATTCCGGGTTCCCAACATCTCCACAAGCGCCCCCCCCCCTGCTCCCGTGTTTTGATTAATGGACCGAGGTCCTGTGTGCGTACAAGGTACCTTGTTCCCGTTCCCATTGTCCACACGCGGTTTCATGGATAGGTTTTCGGACGGCATGGATACGTTTTCTTGCCTCTTCCTCATTATTCGGTATTTAATATTCCTCTTGTATTTTGATCGCTTCTGCTCATAACAATATATATTTTCTGTTCGCTCAGTAATTTTATTCATTGAGTAAACCCCACTTTTTCTTCAAAATATATATTTTCCCAACTTCATTGAAATTAATCTTCTTATTTGTTTTTTAATATCTTATTTTCTTATAATCTTCTCTCATGTGCCCTTGCTCAAATTATCGTATTTCCTCTTTGTCTAGCAATATGTTTTCTATTTATCGGTAAATTGTCTTTCGCACTGAATATGTTATTTAAAATAATATGTAAATTATAAAATTTTAAAAACTTTTCTACCTCTTGCTCAGTTATTAAACTAATGTGAAATATTGTTCTCTGTTAAATATCTTTATATATTCCCCACTTCCCGTTTCCACCCCCGTACGTCTCCCAGAGTACAATATGGCGCTGGCAAGAGTTCATGTGTCACGTTATTTGAGTGTGTATTGTATTTATCGTATTAACTCTTTATTTATCCGATTAACTCTTTATTTATCCGATTTTTTACTTCATGTATCTCCTAATAGGAAGCAATGAAGATGAAGTTTTTTTTGTCAAAACGTACGCTATATTGAAACGCGTAACATTTAATGTGAATTTCTTTTTTTCTGTGGATGATTACTTCTATTTTAGCTGTGAAATCTATTATTTGTTTTCATTCAACCATCCACAAATTTACTCTACTTGTATATATTCAAATGTTCCTCAACACGTGTATTTGTCTAAGACGTATCAGAAGGCTCTAAAAGATATGAAGACGTGTATTGTTGTGAGTATATTGTAAAATGTGGGACTATCTCGTGACTAAATTGTTAATTTACAAAGGGCACTATCTTCGGGAATCTTTGCTTCAGAGGCCAAAGTAGTGCAGGTTTCGTGGCAATAATCGTATCACCTGCCTGCCAGGCGACCTTGGCTGCTTTCCAGACATTCAGAGAGGCGGACCCCATCCCCCTGATTCCAGGGAGTTTGTTGGTGCCGGTGACGAATGACGCGAGGTGCTGGGGACTTCTGTAAAAGGAGATAAAAATCCAGGATTCCGGCGACTGTCCTCCAGACTGAGCTGCAAAAAGAGTGCACCGCTCCGAACAGTAGTGAAAAGGTCAGTGACAGTGACTTTTACGTAAATCTATCAGAAACAGTGCGAGCGATGTCGAGATAAATATAGAAGTGAACCCAACGTAGGTAAATCTAGTAAATACACATCTAAGGAGCGTGTATATAAATATAGAGTATTATGTCTGTAAATGAATAAGTGTTTAAGTATGTATTTGTGAACTTAGTATGTAACTTTGAATTAAGAAAATAAAGGAATATTTTGTAAAAATAAAAATATGTGTTTTAATTTACCACGAAGAAACATTTAAAAACTATTTATTGATAATATTAGTAGAAACACGCTAGTGTGTTTTTCTGCCTGAAATTTGTATCTTGTGTAAGTCCATTTTGCAAAAGATAACAAGATATGGAACAGAAAAGTGAAAATTAAAACAAAACTTACGAAGGTTGTAAGCAATAGATATAATTGTTTATAAACGCTTCTAGATTCTCTAATCTGGGCAGCATAAGAAACTATATTATATTCCAAAACTAATTAGAAGCACCCAATTTTAGAATTTATTACATATTATTAATTACAACGGTACCGTAATCTGAAAGAATTAGTGGTAAATAAATTAATATTTACGTACAGTTTAGTGGTCTCCGTCTAGAAGAAAAATTAGGTGAACCCAAACTGTCCTAGGTTCACCTATTAAACAATCTTTTAAACAAAATAATTTACAAGACACAAATGTTCACAGTAGAATAATTTGGAATGTTTTCGATGATGATAGTTTGTTTAATGAGAGAATATTGGTTACTGAAAAACGTATTTCTTATGCCTTAAAACTTGTTAACAAATTAAATGAATGATTTAATATATTACAAAGTGAACACAACGAAGTAATACGACTGTAACTTTTGAAACTAGTGTTCACCAAGAATACAATTTGCAATGCCCAGATAATGACAACTCTCTTTCATGCCCCTCCATCGCGTTCTCGGGCCGTAGCTTTAACGCAAGGCGGTAGTTAATGAGGCCCCATTAAATTATGCATATGGGAAACTGAGGAAACGAGGATATCGCGTGAGTCTAGGCGCTACCCTCGGACTATGGAAAAAGTCATTGGAAAGGTACACTGCCTTCCAGAGGATTCCTTTTTCAAATGATATGTTATATGGACATACAGAATGATTCAGACCTGGTTGCTAATATGCCGGAACCTTATCTCATATGTAAAGTACAGACTGAAGGTTCCAAAATTGGATAATTTTCGTCGTTTACTTTTGTAAATAATTAACGTTAAAACTTTTGTACTATAATTAACGTTAAATTGCATTGTAGGCTTTCACGGCCGGATCAATATTCTTTCATGTCTTCCGGGCTTATGGGCCGTGGTCCAATTGGCTCTGGGATGCCAAACGTTTCGCCCACGACTGCGGTGGGCATCTTCAGTGGCGAGGTCTCGGCGAGTGTCCGGGCCGGTGGTTGACTGGCGACTGACGCCGCGTTGGTCTCTGCCGCTCCATTTGGACTATTAGCTTGTGCTCGTTTAACACGGGCTATGGCAAGTGAGTGAGCGGATTCATCTCTGTAAAACACAATTGCTAATACTATCAGAGAAATCCCAGATGCGAACACAACGCAAATATTGCGCGAGGTCAAGGCATCACAGTCCCTCGTATTGCGAACAATTGATTCGGAGAGATGACGACTTTTCCATTTCCAGCGGTCGCGGTACATACAAGACAACGTCGTTTTCAATACCCTAGGCATTTCCTGCGCAAAAGAGTTCTGTAGCTGAGTTTTATAACTTAGGTATTCTCCCAACGCTTTTTGGAGCTCAAGGTTAATGAAAGACCGCTTTTATGCTACCGGAGTCGAGAATCGGGATGACCTTCTTCTGGTCATTGAAAGCGTGGCGGCAGAAATAAGGTAGTAGTACAATCGGGCAACATTGTGCGCGTCACGGAAGCCGTACGGCACAGGTATTCTTGCGTTCAAAAAAGAGAAGGCCATTTTGAACACTTGTGTTGTAGAGCCCCTGTTACGAAACTAAACCCTGAAATGGTAATGCAAAACTTTGACTGTACACGCAAATATGATAAACTGCCCTAAATAGCACTTAATCTACAGTTTTTTTCTCTCCTTTCATATTTGTTCGTTAAGGGAGGCAATGATAGGAACAATATTTAATGTAAATTTGTGCTACAAGTTTTGCAAAATATGACCAATGACAAAACATATTTTTTCAAATTTTTGAATAGGGTTTACACTATTTATTTTTGCATTCATGAATAAAATAGTTTACACTAACACCGGGTCATGTATGAGCAACAAAGACTGAATCACTCTGTGTAATTTCATGCTTATCCATTCTAGGGTAATCATACCAACAAGTATTTTGAAACACATTCTGCATAAATAGAAGGCCGCAATTGTATCGCGATCTATTCGTTATTTACGAGACTATAGCACTTGGTACTCATAATGAAAAGGTATGTATCACCTAGTTTGCATATGCTCGTATAAAGTAAACAATATGGCAATCATTTATTATAATTGATAATGTGAGAATGTCTATTGAATGAGTGCATGTTTGAAGAATAAACTGAAGAAAATGAAATGCCAGGGCTTTTGATAACGTTTTTTTTAAACGAAATAATAAAATAGAAGTGTCCAACTGAATAGTTTCTAAATTCTGTGGTGGTAGCAGATATCTTGTGGTAATTCATGTGAGGAAGGAAATAATCATCCAAAATAAATTATAATTATTGGGTAAGTAAATAATTGGTAAAGTAAATAATTGCTTGGACAGTAAGTATTATTAATTTTATTTATTTATTAATTGTTTCATATTATTAGTTACCTTTTTCACATAATTTCACTGAATTTCGTTTTGCTACTTTATGTTAATGTTTCAATTTTCCTCTCCTTGCAACATACCCACTGAAGATGGGAAAAGTGTTTTTCCGATATTGACTCTGAGAATGTAATTATTGATAAAATGATTATACTTTATTGTGGACGATTATTTCCTTTCTCACATTATTGAACAGTTTCTGAATTATATTATTACTGAAAGAACTGTTCGTAGTAAACGTACAGTGGGCAACTTTTTTTAATGTCAAAAATTATTACAGTTATAAAATTAATAATGATTTTTTTGTATTCCAGCATTATAAAACAACCTTCGTTCAAAATCGGAAATTTTACGGCGCAAATGATGACGTTTTAGATCGTATGTCACGAATGATTGCGTCATCACACATTCAGCCAATCGTAGCCAGAGAATCGGGTGGAGGTAGACCTAAACGGAACAGCCGACCACCGTTTACTCGCACGATGTCAGATACCCGAGTCGTCACAGGGAAGTTGTTCCGCAAAATTAAGTTTGATTCTCCTATAAATGTATAATGCTGTTATACAAAAATATAGTATGCAAACTCGTTTATAATGTTTATTTATTACATTCGTACAAATTTGAAAACTGGCTCCTAAAGTCGCTCGTTTTCAAAACATCTCATATAATGAAGCTTAATATTATAAACTAACTGCATAAATTACTATTAAAGGTTTTCTTTTCAAGGCGCAAGTCTTAGCTTCGACAAATTCTTCGATGAACAAAGAGGAAACGATTTTCTTTCTTCGCCGTTCCCACATATTTCTTTTATTAACCTGACACTCTCTCGACTGTCAGCCTCTCACCTGTGTTGTTTTCCGACTCGTTTGCGGCGCCGATAGAACAAAGCCGTAAATCAAATTACCTCCAAGTATTACACAAGTAAAGCCGTATAACGGAAACAACAGCCTCCGAGATGATATCTGAAAGGCCCCTTGACACACGTGAATAACCAATGATGCATAGTCCTTCATCGCGAAGCTCATAAATTCGTAATGTCCTAATTAAGGGCTGCGAACTCTCAAACTCGTAAAGAACCCGATCGTACCTATATAAAGCGCGTAATGAATAGAATCCTAGGGAGTTGCGGAGAAAGTTTGAAATACCTACAATAAATTTTAATTAAAAATGTGAATAACCGAGAGGGATATAATTTCGAAACTCTCATTCTCCAGGCTGCGGGAAAAACTTTTCATTCCCACATCACATGAAAGGTACGTGTTATTAAAATGTACGAGAGCGAGAGCGGAAAGGTGCAGAAGGACGATGCGAGCGGTATGATTTCAATATCAGCACACCGCAGGATCAACACGCCATCAGGAAACTCTCCGTCAGGGACGAATACCGCTTGTGTGTCCGTTTGTGAAAACGCAAGGGAGCGAGCGAACGGCGTGCGGTCGGGTAGACTGACTCGGGTGGGGACGCAAGTTCACCAAGTCCGCACGGGGAAGTCAATAGGTTTCCGCAGAATTTAACCGTTACAACACGAGAATCGGGGATAGCAACGAAATAATTCTGGAGTTCAGCGAGCGAGGAGGCCACGCTAGAAGCCTTCTGGAACAGACCGCCCCGGCGGCGGCAGGGCGTTTTACGGGAGACGGAACTTCAACATGTCCTCGCAGAGGGGGAAGTGAAACGACGCGGCAAAGTTGGTGCGAAGGCTGAGGGAGAACGCGCAGAAACGCAGCTAGGAAACGGTGAAGAGCGAGAGAGCAAGGTAGGGGATTTCATGTTATTGCGAATAGTTTTAGAGTTGAATCGTAGTCAGATTAACACAAATGATTTTGAAAATGTGGTCGACTTTTAATACCAACAGAAATTGAGATTTTACTCAATAATTAAATTCCCGGAACGGGATTGGCTCTCTGAAAAAAATATGTTACCGAAAAAAACCTGTTTCAACTTGTGAATTATGCTGTATTTGTAAAGAGAAGAGACTATAAAATCGCAACCCAGTTTCCCTTAATTGGTTAGTTTCAATCCTATATTCAGAGACATCCCTCCAATCGTGAATGTGCAACAAAATAGATAACTTACATTCTTTGGAATTTCTCTAAACAAAACCATGTGCTAACTCTTGGTCCTAATAGGATATTTCTTGGTGTAAACAGAATTTTTTGAAAATATGATTCGTAAATACAGATTTGCAGGAAACGAGATTAGCGTCCCTTTTTACCGCTCTTACAAGTATAAAATTAAAATGAGAAAAAAAGAAAAAAAACAATTGGGGCCGTTTTAGAGAAAAAATATAAAATGTTTACAATTGCGTATATTTCATGCAATATTACACGATATTAATATTTTCGAAAATGTGTACATGACCTTATTTCTAGATCAGTATATCAGTAGAGCAAAACGAGTCAGATAAAAATAAACGTCGCTACATGACAAACAATTCTCGCCCAGGAAAAGGCAATTTCATATTCGGAATTTACAATCGTATTAACAAATACAATTACAATTTATGTTTTTAGTGTACCTGTTCTTATATTTCGATTTAAAAAAATGCCTCTTCAAGGTCGCGAGCTAAACAGAGAAGGGTCACTGTCATCCAATCAGGAGATTCAATACCAAACATTTAAGTCTTAACGAAGATCGCGATTGGATAACAGTGTTGCCATTTCCTGCCAGCTCGTTTCCTTGAAGGAACACTGTTTCAACAGGAACATAGTCCCATGGTCGCGCTCTGCCGGCTGCGAGAACTCGGCTCACCACTAAAGGCGAGAGCCGTCCGTTATCATTGGGTCTTTGTGGGTCCCGCACCGAGATCCAATGGGGTGGGGTCGGGGGTGGGGGTCTGAGGCTTTGGCCCCCATCGGCGCTCGGCTCAAGTTGACTCGCCGAAAACAAAAAAATACACCGAGATGATTCTTCTTCTTCTCTTTTCACCGGGACCGAATAGCATCACATAAGCTGAGGAGCGTAGGTTGCGCATAGCGGAGTCACAAAAAACTGAAGCCCAGGGTGAGGGAGAGGAGAAGAGGAGGATACGAGAGACGGCAGTGGGCCTTCTGGCAATGGCACTGACAGTTGACCTTCTGACACTAGACCTTCTGAAACTAGACCTTGACAGTAGACTTTGTGACACTAAACCGTGTGACAGTAGACTATTTGACAATGGAGCTTGTGACAGTAGAACTGGTGACAGTACACGTGACACTACACCTTCTGACACTAGACCATCTGACACTAGACCTTCTGACACTAGACCTTCTGACACTAGACCTTCTGACACTAGACCTTCTGACAGTGGGAGAAACTGCGGAGATGGGGCGCAGAAAAGTGGAAAATAATGTCGGGGGTAGCGAGAATAATGTCGGGAGGAGGCGGGGAGGGACAGAGTCAAAAGTGAAGGAAGATATAGAGAGACAGAGTTGGTGGGAACGCGAATGAAGGATGAGACGGAAGGGCAAGGGGAGGTGGTGATAAATGAAGTGACGGAGGGGTAGACCGTGAGGCACGTGACGGTGGAGAGGAAGGGCGAGAGGTGGTTATGGAGGGAGAATATGTCGTTTTACCTACTGTGCAATTGAACGATTAAGCATTTTGTAAGTATTTTTTATATTCTTCGTACGAATAATTTTGAAATTTTTCTAGATGTGGTGTATCAATTTGGAATTTTGGGCCAAAAACAACACTGACCAGTTTCATGTCATCAATTAACTCTCTCAGTGGCCCAAACTATAGGTCATTTATGAATGGACTTACATATCTAACGTACGTGCTTTTGTTTAAGCACTTTATATTGAGAATAATATTTTATTATGGGGAGTAGGGGTGCATTGATTTCACTCATTTGTCAAATAAGAGACTCATTCAGAAAAAAACGATATGAATGAAATTGTTTATTTGCGTAACGTACTAGAATTGTTTGTATTACCAACACAAGAATTATTTTGATAAAATATTGCTCTTACCTCTGTATTATATAATATATCACTCATTTATTTCAATGTAAATATAAAATTCACTTCCATGCTATGGTAACTACAAAGAACAGACATTTTCTTTTATTAATACAAATTCTTTGCAAAAATTTTTTTTAATAAATGAGAGTTTTGAGTTTCATTGTATGTAATGGTGTATTTTACTGCACCAAAGCTAAAACTGTTATTCCATGTTTGAAAAATTTAAACATTACGCAACCTCTTCAATATCAACTAACACGATTCGGTTGGGTTTTTACTTCGAGCTACAGTCAAATTATGTCGGCTGACCCACAACGAAAATTAGAAAACAGTCAATTCGGGAAATCGCAAAACCGATTACAATTTCGGTGAAATGTCGGCGTTAACGAGGACGAATTATGTATCGTAGTGAATTAATGTACTGTTATCTGCTATCCATGCGCGACTGCTTCCCACGCCCAACAGAAGAGCGTGGGTCGAAAAAAACCTGCTTTGTCCGCACTCGCTTTTTTGGTTTAATTTAAGAGGATAAGATAGGAGAATCACTTTGGAAATTGAATGTTCCTTGTGATTCTGTATCTTTCCTCATTATCTTTTTTTCCCTTTATAATAACAGAGATACAGATCAACAGGTAGGGATTTAGAGACACATCTGATAATAAAATTAATTGTAGTATAATGTCAATACTAAAATCATTTAAGAAAATATATTTCAAGCAACACGATAAGCAAATACAAACACATTTTTACGTAATTTACTACTGTTTAAAACTTCCTTCAACGTATATTCTTGTTCTGGAAGCAAATATGAAAGATGATTTTTTAATAACAACTTAATAAATAGGGAATATAATTGCATATTTTGTAACCTTAAAAGCTTTTTCGCATACTATATAAAATTTCTCATAAAAATCATTATCTATTCCAAAAACCATAATTATTGCATACTAATTGAAAATTTTGCATTAAAAAAGTAAGTTAATTCGCAAGAAAAGCATTGTGTGGCCTACTTTGTTCTCGAGTTTATCATTTGATCATATCATTATTTGACATGTATATCATTAATTGAAATGGAATTGAGTTTAAACGGCAAACTTCTTGGTGAATTTGGACTCGGAATATTTTAATGATGTTAACATTCTAACAGCATAAACGCTTGTGTGACGATGTGGTGGTCGAGATCGCCAAGGCAGTTGTCCCGTAGGGATCTCGGACCGAAGAATTGTGGGTTCGAGTCCCCCCTCAGGCATGATTGTATTGTATTCGTCCTTTCACCCCCTATCATCATCATATCGTGTCATCCTCACAGTTACCAACTAGAAGCAGTAGTGCTCGCTAATGACTTAGACGTTGATGCGACCTTAAATAACAAAAAAAAAACAACAAAACAACGATTATGTGTAATAACGCAAAATAGTTGAACGGCGATTC